AGAGCTTCTTTGATTGCTGAGGACCATGTCTTTTCCCCAGGAGAGCAGGGCAGCCCTGGGACAGGGCACAGAGTTGTGGTGGCATCTCCACTGAGGTCATCATCATTCACACGGATGAAGCCTTGAGTGTCCTCAGCTAGCTGTGATAGTGGTCCTGCTTGGAGCAGACATCTAGAGATCTCTTCCCACTTGAACCTGTCTAGGATTCATTAAATATAAAGACATCATCATAGTCTCAAGAAGGCTCACACACCAGAAATAGCTTGAAGCTATAAAAGCATTTACAGAGATATCCTGAATATTTCACCCTCTTCTTATGCTCTTTTGAGCACAATTCTCCTGGGTTATGAAGTCTGAGCCTTCCCTCCCCCCTGAGACCACATAGCAGCATTGGAGCAGAGAGAAGACCTGTGACTAATGTATCGGCTGGAAGGGCTTGCCCGTTTCCTGGTTCCAGGAGCCAAAGTACTTAACTTGGTGACTGCTCTGACTTATCTGTACCAAAGGAACATGCCAGCTGCAATTATTTTTCAGCAAAGGCACCATTTTTCTTTTTTTAAGCCTTGTGTAAATGTCAATAACAAGTCTTTAAAGACAGCTAACTGCCTGGCACGGTACCCCTCCAAGGGGGAGGATAAAGACAGGCTAGGCAGCTTCTCTGGCTGCAGCGTGGCAGAACCTTGCTGGGCCAGAGCAGCTGGTTTGAAGCTTAGCTCCATCAAAAAGAGACAAGGACATAAATATGTTTTATTGCAATAGTTTAGAGCCTGCCGAAATGCCCAGTAGGAGCAAGTCTGTGGAAATACCAGGGGAGTTTGGGAGCATCGCAACCCAGCCACATGCTGCTGGCTTTATGGCAAAGCTCTGTGCTTGGCACAGCCTCCTCCCACTGCACACAAGTGACCTTCCTGCCCCCAGACCACACACAAGCTTGCGGAAGACATTGTGAAACCAAGCTCATGCTTGAGTTTCGTGATGGTTACGCTAGCAGTGGTGGTAACAGCATCATGGTGTATAAGAGAGAAGAGAAAAGGGGAATGCCCTGCTGTAGAGCATGAGGGAGATGCTACAGAGGAACAGGAAGCCCCATGGTACGTGTCAAAAAGAAAGCACCACTTATCCTTTGCCTTGTGGACAAGAGACATGACCCCAAAGACCCAGTTTCTTAGTGAGGCTCATTTGCTGACCGTTTGTGGAGGGGAAACCAAAGAAGAAATGCTGACTGCTGCCAGGAAATGATGCACTTGGTCTTCCTCCCCTCTTATGCTACTGCTGCCCTCTGTTAGCAAGGCAAACACATCTTCCACAGGTCACTCTCCACTTCGAGCGCCTGCAAAAGCTACGTTTAACACCAAAGAAAAATTTGCTCCAGCAGCAAATCCACTATCTGGATGCATTTATACTCGCATGGTTTGGCAGAGACATTTTTCCTACCCTCTGCATCTTACCCTGCTGTGGGCAGTTTTTCACCTGAGCAATCCCCATGCTGAGTCTAGCCTCGCAAACATCTAAAGCAAGAATATGGAGTGCTCATACAGCATCTGTACAGAGACACAGACAGACGGCAGGCTGAACTGTCCTCGTTGGCTTTGAAAGCAGTCAGCTTCTCTTGGATTTCCTACATTTTTGCTCATCACCTCCTCACTTTCAGGATCGTGTGTCTTTTAGCTGTAGCTCTGCTCGCACTGTTGTCTGGTGCTCAGTTAGCAACAGAGCCTCACTTTCTGATTAAGCAGGGCCATGAGCTAAGCATATCTTGAAACATGAACTCAAGGCCCTTCTTCAATACATGAGCAGCCTCAAAGAGAACTTTTTCAGCCTGTCACCAGCCCTGCTCTGCAAGCTGGACAAGGCTAGGGACAACTCTGGAAGTCCATATTCCGCAGCAAGGACCTTCTTAGAAAGCATGAGAATGGGAAGAGAGCAGCAAACTCACCTGTGCTCTTCCTGGGATGCTTGGATCTACTTTTAACAAACTTCTTATACAGTTTTGACCCTGTTCTGCCAGGATGCAGGTGCAGAGAGCCCATACCCTGCCTTTTTCACTGCGTCCAGGACTTGCAATCCAGTATGCTCTAGATGAGGGTGCTGTGGTGGCAGTGGTTCAGCAGAGCTGCTCCCCTGTAAGACAGCATCCCTGGGCCAGTGGGCGATTGTGCTTGGCAAAGGGAGTTGGATATGGACCAGGGGAACACCTGCCCCCCTCCCCTTTACAGAGCTGTCCGTGGAGCACAGACTTGGCAAACCTGAACCTCCAAACACCTCAGCTGAGATCAACATGATATCCCAGCTTAATTATCTCTGCCAAGAGGTGGCACTGAAAACCCTCAGGATACAGAGGCTTGGGAACCTCAGAGCAAAGCCTAAGGGGGTGGGGAATGCCAGGAGCACTCTAAGAAATCTTTGTATATTAAACAGCAAGCACACAATCACACCTGCCACCAAGGGCTTTATGAATGCAGTAACTGCAGTGTATGTATCCTCTAGCAAGTAACACCTGGGCATTAGGAGAGAAACCCAAGAGCTCTCTTGGCCCTTCTAATGCTTGCACATCTCAGCAGCCCCAGATGTCAGCAGGCATAGCTTGGACTTCCTTATCTCGCAAACAGAAACCGTCATCACATGGGGTTTTTGGCCACAAAACTGTTACAGGAAATGGCTGACTGCAGTTGTCTCACTCATGAGCTTGGGCCGGTGTTCGGATGTGAAAGTAGCCACGGCCAAGCCACCCGAATCACCTGGGGATGTGCTGGGGCAGGGGGAGGAGCACAAATAGCTTTTAAAAATATTTATTTTTTTTCCCCCTGCAACCAGAAAAACAATCAGATGGCCTTTTAAAAGAGGTCTGTGTTGTATGTTTGATTAAAAGAAGAACAGTAGTAAAATATATATATATATCTGAAGCATTTTTAATGGTGCTTAACAGCTGTTGGTTAGATGTGGCACTGACAGAATTTGGGGAGAAAAGGGAGTGGCAAATGGTTGCCGAGAAAGGGAAGCCCTTTGCCTTATACTACTTCTCATGGCATAACTGCTGTCAGGCAGGGGATTACACGCAGGGTTTCTCTCCTACCCACCTGCATGTGAAAAATCACACACACATAAATTTTCACCCCCCTCAGCCTGTGCTGTTCCCTTTCCCAGGACCCCAGCACTCCTACTGCAGAGGAGCTCTCAGCTGCCTTTGGGCAGATCTGCCACCCCTGGAAGAATCCCACTACAAAGACAACGCCAGAAGGGCCTCTGGGCACAAACAGCAGTGGGTGACAGCCAACGCAGGCTCCCCTGAGCCACAGGGGAGGAAAACATCACAGACCAGCAAGAAACACCATGCAATACTCTTTTCCCGGGTGCATGCAAATTCCATACTCCTCTGTCAAGGGGAGCAGCTTCACCACTTGGTGGAAGAGCTCACACTCCACTGGGTCAGCACCCTTGGTTTTGTGATGCAAAGACTGGGGGAGGAAGCTGAGAAACCAAAAGCTTTACCTTACCCAGCTGCTGCTGAAAGCAAAACACCCTGGAAAGATAGTTCATCTTCTGAAAGCAAGAGACTCAGAAATAGCCACAGTCAGAAGGTGCTCAGTTTTATTTCTGTATAGAGCAAGGGCTAAGCTCACACTCTGTAAGGCTTTGTAGCAGGATAGGAAGTACTGCCTGCATAGTCCCTCAAGCCAGCCTACACCAAGACTGTATGTGCTTTTTCCCCCCCCCCTCCCCCCAGCTTGCTTTCTTCTCTTGTCTGTAAGTGGCAAAAGCCACCCAACTCAGAGGTTGACTGTTTGAAATGCAACACTTCCAGGGCATCACCAAGACCTCATCTTTGTGGTGAAAGCCAGGTCACATCCTGCAACTAGCCCTGGCTAGCATTTACACTAGAGTTGTTCCCTCTCTGTAAAGGGGCACCTTTCCTGCCAGTGCTTCTTATTGCAGTGACAACAGGAAAAATTAGTCTGAGGTGAAGGGTCTAACTTTCACTTGATCCTGGTATTAGAAAAGAGCCTGACCCTCCTACTGCAACAGCTCTCCTTGTATCCATCGCACCCCAGTACCCAGGCAGAGAGAAAGCATTGATCCCAGATCAAGCCAGGTAGGGGTAAGGACTGAGCCTGACCTGAAACAAATGCAGAAAAACCTGAAAAGGCTGTTTCTGGCACTGCAAGCAGGGAAAGAGTAAAGAGCAGCTCAGGAACACAGTGGTTAGTGGGGAAACTTAAGCACAAAGGCAAGGGCCTGGCTCCTCTGCTCCTTCCCACAGCTGCAGAGGCTCTGGAAGCATTTGTGTTGGCAGGAAGGCAGCAGAAATAGGCAGCTCTTTCCTGTGGCAGGCAGCAGAGTCCACTGCGGATGTGTGCTCCTCCCTGCCAATGGCCACTTGCAGGAAGCTGGTCCTGTGTCCAAATCACCTCCCCAGCCCCATGGGTGTTTAAATAAGACGACGATACACAGCCAACATTTTGTTCCACCTTTATTTTAACAATCAGATAAAAACAGGACTATAGTTTTAAAAGAGTCATTACATGGAAATTATAAAGTGCATTTTCCACTTGAATGTTGTGTACAAAAATATCTTTTAAAAAACAAACATGCAAAACAACCCACAAGGCACTTCCAGGCCTAGAGCGAGGAGAGCAACTCCTTGCTACTACGTTCACATTGGCAATGGAAAAAGGGAAAAAGGGAAAGGCCACAAGTAATATTTTTAAACCACTATTGGTCAAATAGTCAGTTCCCAGCCTAGCTTTTACTTATGGCATTGCTCTTCTAGCTTATATTTCACATTCCTCCCTAAGCACACCCCATCCACAGCCTGAAAATGAACAGGCCCATAAGGAGATACCACCATCCACAGCACCCCAGACACATGCCTTGTTTCAGCCCACAAACAGCTCTCCGTAGGCATGACAGCATGCCAGGAGAACATGACTTTTCTACAGTCAGTGTCTTATAGCATTAACACCATACACTAAAAAAAAAGAAAGGAAAAAAAAAAGATCAGTGTCACTCAGACTTGCTTTAAGTTTAAAACCAGGTTCAAGCCAAGCTAGGCAACAGTCCCTTCAAGAGATACCAGATGCAGGTTATAAGAGCTGGCTTGGGAAGCTGTTTGAACAGAGGAACCAAGCCTGATGAGTTCTGGGCTAGCAAGTAGATTTACCACCTCAACTAAGTGATCAAGCATAGTGATGACATGCATCGGTGTTGGGTTTTGAAAAAGCAGCAGTTGAAGGCTAGCTCTTGTCCCTTTCGGCATCCAACAGTGATCATCTAGGTTAGGGTAAAACAGCTTGTAAGTATTATATACAGTAGTCTCCAGAATTAAAAGCTAGGTTTAAAAAGTTAAGTAGTCTAGCCCATTGCTTCTCTCCAGCCCATCCATAGGCTATTATAGGCACCCAAAAAACTATATAAAGCTTATACACTAGAAAAAAAGATTCCCTTGACCTCTGTTTCTACAAACTATTCAGCACTCTCCCTTTGAGCTGAAGGATGAAGTTATTCTGCTCAACTAGCACACAAGAAGCTTTGTGAGGCTGTTTGGCACTGCACAAGCTGGCCACCTCACCTCAGCACAGGCCCAGAAGACAAGCCCCCTCTTTGAAGATAGGGACGGCTCACATCCGTGATTTGTTTCACATCCAGGGGCAGCGTCAGGATAACCCCACATCTCACATTCCTCACAGTTAGTTCTTTGCCCAGGTGGTGTGAGCCACTTCTTACAGACACAGAGATGCAAAGTTTGGGCATTTACAAGTCGGAATGGCAGCTACTGCTACAACAGTTAGGGAAGCCCAGCATGTTGATATTAATCCAGTATAGCCACAGCATCCTCACATGTGAGCAGTGCCATGCCACTAGCTGCCAAGCAGTCCGTGGCACAGAATAACAAACCATTAGGAGATCTTTTTTAAAAGCAACATCATTTCCAAAGCCTGTTTATCCCAACACATTGCTGGGATTGCATGTACCACCCCTTTCTCAGTCAAGGCACTTCCACCACAGTAGGTACACAACAGTCACTTTCTTATAACAGGACACAGCATAGAGTAGCCATGTGGTCCATTTGTGTTTAGCTCCTGCAACACCTGAGCACAGCCTCCTGCACAGGACTGTGGGCCCCAGCTGGACAAAACCCTGTTTTACAGTCCACAGGAGGAAGAACTGCATTTTCAGTGCCCAGCACGACCAACAGCTGACTTCATATGTCCATCACAGGGGAAAAGCATCATCAATCACTTGTGATAAAAGAAACAGGAGGGTTTTGAAGGCAGCAGTCAAGGCTGTCAACCCACAGCAGTGTTACAAGCACCACACAGCTAATCTCTATTTTTGGTAACACCAAGGGTATAATGAGAGTTTTTCAAGATCAGCTGATAAAACAACTGGTGACTAAGCATATCAGATCCTCTCCCACAGGCACATACATCTCCTAATATGGCCAGCTGTAGGGCCACATTTCCTGTTATCACAGTTGCATTTTCATTTCCAATACACCCTTTCTGCCTCCAGTAGGAAGGACCTCACACTACAAGGACACATGCAAGGAGAGGGCTCTGTTACCCGCAAGCTGACCATTCTACTACCTGACAGGCACAGGCCAGCTTTGCAAGGAGAACCCTGCAGCTGAAGTACAGCCCACTAAAAACATAATACTAGAACATATTTTGAAAAAAGCCTTTTAACACTAGGCAAGCAATACAAACCAGCCACCACTACATAGCTTGGACAGACAAGATAAGCACGGTAGTGTTTCCCTGGAGACTAGCAGCTTTATAGAAGAGGAAGGAGTAGCAGCACTTAAGAGATATATGAGCAACAGCTCCTGGTCCTTTGAGCATCTGGAGAGCCAGTTATCTGAGCTGAGGCAGGGAAGGCTGCCCTTTACGCCTGCCAGAGATGCTTCCCTGACTATAAGCCCACTGCCAGCAGAGCACATCTGGTTTTGCCAGGAGGCTTATGCAGAGCTACAGGGATCCGTACTTCTTCCACCTTTCCGTACACCTCGTGTTCAGACCAGCTTCCAGGCCTGCAGACACACCAGCAACAGTTAGTCAATCAGGACTTTGTCCTTCAGTCAATAGTAAGGCCCTAGCTTCTCATAGCCCGAATAGCTGGGCCACTCAGGAAAGAGGCCATAGGAGCACCGAGGGCTCCCAAACTGGTCAAAGGCACTGCCAAACTCAGGGCCCTGTGGGGGGTGGACAGCTTCTTGGGCAGACTTCAGTTCTGACCGTATGATCCTGTAATTTGTGCCCTTGTTGCTGTCCCAGTACACCTTCCCATTGCACTCAAAGGAGATGGCAAACTCTACTCTTTCATGGGATTGAATTCCCTCAGGCAAGCTGATGTCAAAGGAAAATGTGTCCCAATCTGACCCTCCATACGTATCCTTGACATACTGGCATGGGTAATCTACAAAGTTTTTCCAGGTGTCAAACGTCATCCTGATCTTCACAGTCTTTTCAAAAGCGAGGTTCCTCACCTTCACTGTTCCCACAACAGATCGCTCCTTTAGCATACAGTTTTCAAGGCAGACACAGTCTGCCTGGAGGCGGTTTCTGAAGTCCAGGTAGTCCACAGAGGGCTGAACAAAATCCAGGACAAAGCTGTCCCTCTCCACGGTTGTCAGGCCCACAATGTTGTCTATCAGCTCAGTGATGTTGAAAGGAATATCTAGTGGATCATCAAACTCTGAGAACACCTTCACCATCGTCAAAGCAAAGCCTCTGCTATCTGCAAACGACACCCTCTTCTTCACTTTGTTGTGTGTGAAGGAGTTTGCTGCCTCTTCTGGTCCATTCAGTGTAGTTTTGCTTCTCAGCTGGATGCACGGCCGCAACGGCTTGCTTGGCTTTGGAGCAATTTTGCAGGCACACTTCTCTCTCCGCAAGGGTGAGGAACATAGGTATAGCTGCATTGCTACATCCACAGCCATTGCTTGTTTGTGAGGAAAATAGTCTAATACTCTGGAAGATGAGAAGAAGGGTTAGTTGATGTTAGAAAAGCATTTTAATATGACTTTTGTCAGACAAATGCTACACCACTTCCCCCCTAGCCATCCCAAAGAAACTTGCTTCCATCAACTCCACAAGTCCCTCATCAAGGTTAATTAAAGGCAGGTACTTGCATGGTGTGATTTACAGACACTGTGAGAAATGTGCTACAGCAGAAGTGGCAGGACCAGAGCCTGTTGTGCCCTTGAACAAGATCTCTTCCAGTTGCTACAGGGACAGAGTAACAATTCGAAGACACACGCAGGCACTGCCCTACTAGGCTAGCAATAGCAGGCTCTAGAGCATTTCTGACCCAAAGCAAAACCCATGGCTCAGTCCTGCTGATGTCCACAAAATCAAGAGATTATCAAATTCCAGTGCTACATAAAGCAGTATTCTTGCTGTGCTCTCCTCCCTCCAGGGATGGCTCTCCCCATGGCATCAGATGGTTTTGTAGGAGCAGGGACTCAGTTTGCCACAAGCTGCTGTATGCAACTGACATCACCTTTCATAAACCCCAAGTGTCTGGTATTTTTAGAGGCTAGAAAGCACTTGTTTGGTTGAGCTACATACTTTGCTCATCACTGTCTCCTAGAACTGCTCCATCTAAAGTGGTATTGTAAGGATAGCAACAGTCTGATACAGCAGCAGGGTAGAGACTTAGGCAACATTGCTCAGCACCTACAGAGAAGCCTCTTTCTTCTCTCCACTGCACTTCATAACAGATGTCAGCTCAGACGGCCCAGCAGATTTTACCTCCAACACAGACTTCACACCTCAAGCCTCCACAGCACTTGTGCTGAGCCCCTGGGAAACACCTGTATAGCCACAGGGCTCTGCCAAACACAACTCACCTACTCAAGGTCGACCAAGCCTTCGGAAGCAAGTCTGTCCCCAAAAAGGCACAGGCCATGTGCCCCTCTACCACAGCCTCTCCTCCTCCAGCATCCAGCCCATTCCTCCAGGGATGCAGCACCACCCAACTCTGTGCACCCACTCTAGGGCAGCTCCCACTCAGCACCTTGCCAGATGTAACCCTGGAGATGCCTCTACAGCTAGGCAGCTCCCAAAACATCATACCTATCGCTCCTGGCCTTGCACTGAGGTTAGGCTGGATGCTTTTGGCAGACTCTTTGGCCTGGCTCTGGATAAACTGCTGGACAGATTTATCACACACATCCCCCTTAAGTCAGTTGCATTGCAGCTGACCTTAAACACAGAGTATTCCCTTAATAAAAATCCCCTGTTTGGCTGCAGGCCAGGCTCCAAAGCTGCTCCCACTGTGCAGAGCAGGATGAGCCAGCAGCAGTAGCAGCGGCTGCCGGCCACTTGATGTGGCAGAGCTCCGGCTGCCAAAGCCATGCACAGCCAGCTCTAGTACTTGATTGCTACCCCTGTGCCAAGAAAAAGCAAGAGCTACGCTCTCCAAATTGGTGCTTTAACTCCCCACCCTGCAACAGCAACAGAGCAGCTCTGAGCAGGCTTTCACAGCATCCATTCAGCAAGGGCATCTGTTTATTCAGAGCACATGTGCCAAAGATTGCTTCCCAACACACCCACCAACTAACTCCTTTGGTATCGCCTCCTTCAGCCTCCTTTCAGCTCAAGGGCAGCTGTAGAAGACAGACAGCAGATCCACCTGTCTGCTAACATCATTCTGCTCATCTCTACCTGGTTTTGCTAAGTTTTTATTCACACACACTTTATATAGGTCATTTCCTCCTTTAAATTAAGGCAGCCTTCAATGCTTCTCTCTTACTTGGGCCAATTTCATCCACATAGCATGTTTTCCCAGGGAAATTTATTCAGCTGAATTCCCATAACTGCCGAGACATCAGATTTCTTATTAAGCTTTGGTTACTTCACAATTTTTAGAATGAAAAGGTATGAAATATCCAGCCTGATTTGCATTACTTGGAGCTTTTTTCCAAGCTAAGAACTACAGTAAGAGCTTTTCAGACCCACGATTAGGCTGAGCTCCATGCTTTTACAAACTTTTTCAGCTCATTTGATACCCCAGACATCTCCTTCTGCACTTGAGAGCTTACTGATGCCCAACTCACAGCCCACAGAGGAAGGTTTCCCTTTTGGGGCTAGCATTGGCTGTCTTGAACGTCAGATGCTTTGAAGGTGGGATCAGGGAAATATTTTTGAGAGCTCACGCAGAAAAGCGAGCTCTAGGAAGCAAGCAGTGCAAGGCAGGCAGCCCTGTGCAGGTACAGGGGCCAATTCCTTTCCCCTTCCTCTCAAGGAGCGAACAGACTAGATTCTGTCTCTGGACATCTTCCCGCAGCTTTACCCTCTCCGGAAGAGGATGTCACCGCTCACTCTTCCCTCCTCCATTTCTAGGAAGGAGATGCAAGACAGAGCAAAGGAATTATTTACACCTACATTTATCAAAACCCTTCGATTGCCTCCATTCTGCTTCCAGCACTGTCTGTAAAGAGATAACCCTCTCGCAGAGGGCTCGACACGCAGCAGCTGCTAAGCCAGAAGTTTTTAGACGTGACACGCTGCTGGAAGAAGTGGCACTCGGGTTTTCTGCCCTCTTCTCCTCTCCGGTTCAGGAAAAGCCGAGCTGTTCCGAGGGCACGGCCCACTTGTCACCGGCACTTACCCGGGGTCCGGGCGATATGTTAGCCCCGCTGCAGCCCGTCCCCTCTGCAACCAAAAGCAGCACTGCAAACCCGGGCCACGACCCACCGCCCGGCCCCGCGGGGGCTCCAGGACACCCTCGGCGAGTCCGGCGGAGGGGCACCCCGCCGCCCCGCTCCCGGCTCACCCGGGGAGCCAAGCCAAGACGGTCCCCGCTCCCCCCGGTAGCGGCACCGTGGTCGGGGAGCGCTGGTACCGCTCCCGCGCACCCGAGGGGGCTGCGACCCCGCACCGGCGGGCACGGCAGGCACCCGGGGAAGCCAAACGCCAGCAGCGGAAGGAAGGAAGGAAGGAAGGCGCGAGCCCCACAGGGACCATACCTGGTGCAGTGCATGAGGCCAGCCCCTACACCCCCCCCCTCGGCTCGCCGCCACAGCCCAGGCAGCGCCGGACCCGGGGCCTTAAGAGCGCCCGCCCGC